GGATAAGCTTATTATACCCGGTATGGATAATCTTCTACCGGGGGTAATGTTTATCTATAACTGGGTACTGAAAGGATAAGCTTATTATACCCGATATGGATAATCTTCTATCGAGGATAATATTTATCCATAACTGGGTACTGAAAGGATAAACTTATTATACCCGGTATGGATAATCTTCTACCGGAGGTAATATTTATCCATAACTGAGTAATAAGCTTCTTCAGGAAGCTTATTTCCAATAGAGTACTAAATAGATAAACATATTTACGATGTAGTTCCATATGGATAAGCTTCCTGAAGAAGCTTATAACAACAATAAAAAAGTTTATACTTCAAACAATTAGTTAAATATATAAAATTCTTGAAGGGTATTAAAATAGTACAGTACTAGAATAATGTTATCCAAACAATAAGCGTCTAAATCGGACAGAGAGCATTTGGTTTACTCAGCTCACACACAGCTCCCTCGTCGGTGCTTGTTTTCAGCTGAAGAAATTACACTTCACACGTTAGAAGCATGGGCCAAGAAAGCACATTCACAGCCCAGAAACGCGCCGGTGCACTCCCTGTAACAACCACCACCGCCAACGGCGGCGTCCGCAGCCGCTCCGCCACCAATTCTTCCGCCTTACCACGCGGCCGTCAGATCCAACGTACATTCAACAACGTCAAAATCACCATCCTCTGCGGCTTCGTCACTATCCTCGTCCTACGTGGTACCATCGGCATTGGCAACCTCTCATCCTCCGACGCCGACGCTGAGACTCAGAATCTCATAGAAGAAACTAATCGGATCCTCGCCGAAATGCGATCCGATAAGGACCCGGACGACCCGGTTGATCAACCCGAGACTTTCATGAGCCTGAATGAGACTTATAGTTTAGGTCCGAAGATTGTTAATTGGGATAAAGACCGGAAAATGTGGCTCGAGAAGAATCCAGAATTTCCGAATTTGGTTAATGGTAAGCCTCGGATTTTACTTGTAACTGGTTCTCCTCCAAATCCTTGTGATAATGCAATTGGAGATCATTATTTGTTGAAGGCAATAAAGAACAAGATTGATTATTGTCGGATTCATGGTATTGAAATTCTGTATAATTTAGCTCATTTGGATAAGGAAATGGCTGGTTATTGGTCCAAACTGCCATTGATTCGTAGGCTAATGTTATCTCACCCTGAAGTAGAATGGATTTGGTGGATGGACAGTGATGCATTGTTTACTGATATGGTTTTGGAGATCCCTTTATCCAAGTATAATCGTCATAATCTTGTTATTCACGGGTACCCGGATTTGTTGTTTGATCAGAAATCATGGATTGCAGTGAACACCGGTAGTTTTCTCTTTAGGAATTGCCAGTGGTCTCTTGATTTGTTGGATGCTTGGGCACCGATGGGACCTAAAGGTCCTATTCGAGATGAAGCTGGGAAGATTTTGACGGCTAATTTAAAGGATAGACCAGCATTTGAAGCGGATGATCAGTCTGCGCTAATATACTTGTTCGTATCACAGAAGGATAAATGGATGCAGAAGGTGTTTGTTGAGAATTCGTATTATCTACACGGATATTGGGCGGGGCTAGTTGATAGGTATGAAGAGATGATTGAGAAGTACCATCCCGGTTTAGGCGATGAGAGATGGCCATTTGTTACTCATTTTGTAGGATGCAAGCCTTGTGGGAGTTATGGAGATTACCCTGTTGAGAGGTGCTTGAAAAGCATGGAGAGGGCTTTCAATTTTGCAGATAATCAAGTGCTTAACTTATACGGGTTTAGGCATAAAGGATTGTTGAGTCCTAACATCAAAAGGATTAGGAATGAATCTGATCACCCGCTGCAGTACGTAGATCAGTTAGATGTTCGACATGCAAAGCACAAGAGCACATGAACTGATAGCTAGTGAGTACAATGTCTTTCGCAGGAAATAATCTGCAGGTATAAGAGATATTTACTTTCTTTTTGTTGAATGTATAGATTTTTTCAAACATCAATTTTATTGGTTGTGTCGACTAGACCTAGTTTGTTAAGTCCCAAAACATTAGCTTTGCCACTATCAGATACTNTGCTTTGCCACTATCAGATACTGATCCGTGCGAAAGAGGCTTACATGGATATGAATGATCGAAGAGATAGCCTCTTTCAACAGCAAGCTTTGTGCTTTTCTTAGCTCTGATAAGATTTCTTCATTTATTGGCTAACTTGGCTCTTGGCTTTTTCTAGCTCTTTCCTCTAATTCACCTAATTCTAGTCAACAGTCACTATTATTCTGTGCTTATTAAGGTATTGCCATGGATATGCATATGGATTCATTATGTGCTGATTGAAGTATTAACTACTTACTATATGAATGTGGAGTAGTAGCATATGGATTATAGGAATCTATTGATTCATTTAGCAGATTGGTCTAGTCCAGTGTGTCAACTCTTCATACATGCACATATTGAATGAAGAAAAGGTATAACCACAGTTGGTTGCAATGACGCGATTTTAAGACGCTATATAACCACAGTTGGTTGCAGTGATGCGATTTTGAATGGCTATACTTTCGATGGCATGCAAGCACTATTTTCCATTTCTGCGATTTTAAGACATTATTTTTTTTTGATAACCGTGGTGTCCGAGCCAACTTGCGCCCTCCTCGGCTAATTTCACGGAGTAATTGATACCTCCACCAACAAGTATCAAGTAACTCTATTCACCAAAACTTGGACTTGATGGGAAGAAATCACCTAGTGTTTTTTGTCTCCATTGGAATTTGAACCTGAGACCTCAGGTTCTCAACCCACTTCATAGACCAGGCCACACCCCTGGGTGCGATTTTGAATCGCTATACTTTCGATGACATGCAAATCTGCAGAAACTAGTGCAAATTGCATCAATTATTGAAGCTTGTTTGAGCTTCTGCTATTGTGGAGAAGTTTTCTCTATTGCATGTTTGAGCAAAGCATTGTGTGTCAGAACCAAGGATTTGATATCATAATAGTATTAACTGTTTGTTCTCCTTAGCCTCTAAAATTTGCAAAAGTGTGGTGACTTTTCTCCAATATTGCAGTTTTTCTGGGTCTTCCTTGGGAGGTGCTGATGAAAGGATTGATCTCTCGCACCAATCAAAAAATTAAAAAAAAGAAGGATTTGATCTGTCTCGAACGAGAATGGCACTCTTGGAATGAGGTGCTCTTGCTTCTTCTGCCTCTCTTACTGTGATAGCAAAGCATCGCACGATGAGGGGCAGAATGTCTTTTTATTTGATCTACCACGGAGGAAGTCTGTTTTTAAGTTTGATTATTTGTAGCAACATTTTAGCTTCCGAGCAGTTGATGGAATTCGCAGCTGTATGAAATCATGACCATTAAAAGGAGGATCTGCTGGAATCATCAAGACAAAATCAATAGAATTTGCCTAGATAGCCTCAAGATATCACGATAACACATTAACACTTGTATAATTGCAATTCTTTGTCGCTACTTTGTTGTTCATTTTTTGGTATATCGTAGTGGACTACAAAATTTTAGTTTGAACTTGGAAGTTTACCAGTGTTAATACATGTTCTTTCGTTCTTTTGCCCATTTTTTATAGTTTTGTTAGCCCCTTTATATCATAACTCATCCAAGCAGTTGCCGGCTAGTTGATTAAGGCATGTATTAACGAAGATATGTATTATTTACAATGTCACTATAGACAGTTATATATAGTTATAAGTTAAAATGCCATTATGCAACATGTTAGTGGCATGTATGGGCGAATATATGTCACTTACAGCGGTGTCAAATGGGCGGGTTAGACTGATTTTGGGTGGGTCAAAATAGGCTAAGTCAATAAATGGAGGGTCAATGACTTGCCCAAAAGTTACTTGGGCTGGGTCAAGATGGGCTAAAATTGAAAAATAGCACGGGTTAACCAGTTTTCGGATGTAAAAATAGCACGGTATAGCTAGTTTTTGGACTGGTCATTCAAAAATAACCAACGTTTACCAAGTCAATGAAAAATAGCCATTATTTTGCTGCAACAGAGACCGGTCCAGCATAATATGTTTGGAGTTCATACACATGTGCACCGAACTCCAGTATATTATGCTGGACCGGTATACTTTGTTGGCTCCAGTATAATATATTGGAGACTGGAGCATCGGTGCTCCAAACTCCAGTATATTATGCTAGACAGATATACTTGCTGGAACTCCACTATATTATGCTGGAGTTCTAGTGTACTTATGCTGGAATTCCATCATATTATGCGGGAGTTCCAGCATACTTATCCTGGAACTCCAGCATAATATGATGGAGTTTCAGCATAAGTACAGTAGAACTCCAGCATAATATACTGGCGTATTTTTCAGGTTTTGAACAGTGTTTTCGCTTAGATTTATCTTTACATAAAAAGTGGCTAAATTTCGATTACTTTTGAAACTGGGCTATTTTTGAACGACCAATTGTAAATCTGGCTATTTTTGAATTTCTCCCTTTTCGGATTGGTAATCGAAAATATCCAGTGTTTGCAAAATAATTGAAAAATAGCCATTGTTTTGCTGAAATATGAAAAGTTCCAGCATAATTTGCTAGATTATGGAGCTCCTGCGTATAAACTTCCAGCATATTATATTGGAACTCCAACACACCGAAAGTTCCAGTATAATATGTTGGTTACGGAGCTCATGCGTATAAATTTCGAGCATATTATGTTGGAAATCCAACACATTATGATATCCCAACACATTATGCTGGAATATCATATGTAAAAAAATTGAACTCCGGCATATTATGCTGGAATTTTTCCGGATATTTAAAGGTGTTTTTGTTCAGATTTTATCTTTATATGAGAAAGTGGCTAAATTTCGATTACTTTTGAAACTGTAGCTAGTTTTCAATTACTAGTTGTAAATCTGGCTATTTCCGATTTTTTCACACTAAAATTTGGATCATAGCCCAACCTGCCCAATTCTTATCAGGCTTTAATTAATGTATATTATTATCTTATAAATTATTTAATTATCAAATAAGGTTTTTTTTTGTTATGATCATATATAACATATCAAACAAAAAAAGAATTATTTTAAAGATATTTTAGCAAAATTATTCATGGATCAATTTTAATTAAAAATCAGTCAAACTTTAAATAAGCTAAGATAGGTTAAGTTCAACAATTGAGTGGAGTAATGATCGGTCCAACCTTAGATGGATTAGACGGGTCAAACGAGTTTGGGCTCAAATTGTCATATCTAATCCCTTAGCTGTGGTAATTTATGCATCTGCACGTGGCTTATGATTGATTGATGAAGTCCTGCTGTGCCAAAAATCACTTTCTATTTTAACTCCACATTTTATAGTATGTCTTCTTCTTTTATGACATTTTAAAATATACATTTATCTTTTATGCAGTAGTGCAATTAATTTCTACATTGTTTTTGTAATTAACCTATCGTGGCAAGTTGTTTCCTTAATTTTCAGGTAAACCAATCCTCTAATTGTCACGATCCGGATTTTCCACTATCGGGAATCGTGATGACGCCTACTCGTAGAAGCTAGGCAAGCCACGAAACTTAGAAAATTCTTTACTTCTTTGTTTTAATCCTTTTAACATCTTGCTTTTAACAGGTGATAAACATTTAAATAATAGCGGAATATGAGATTAAACGGAAGACTTAAACGAAATAAACCAAAATAATACGGAAATTAACATATGCCTCAACCCAGAAACTGATGTCACAACATTCACGGACTATCTATGATTACTACATACAAACGTCTGAAAGAAGGAACACTGTCTGTCTCGGATACAATAATAATTGAACAAAATAACTGATAGAAGAGACGCCGGGCATGCGAACGCAAATCGAGGTGACTCTAAATGTGGCTTTCAAGGCCTCAGAACACGGAATTTCGCTTTAAAACAATGTGTGATGACCTTATTTGTTTTAAAACGAAATTCCGTGTTCTGAGGCCTTGAAAACCTTTAAAACCAGAAGTTGCAGGTCTTTGAACCCACCAGTGCGGTCCGCGGTCGACCTTGTGCGGTGCGCGGTGGTGGCTGTGCGGCCGCAGTCGACTTTGTGCGGTCCGCACAGGGCGCTGCAGTGCAGTCCGCGGTCGACCTTGTGCAGTGCACGGTGGAGGCTATGCGGCCGCAGTCGACTTTGTGCGGTCCGCACATGGCACTAGACCGCAGTACCTCAGGAAGGCCTATGCGGCCGCAGTCCATTTTGTGCGGTTCGCACAGGGGGTCTGAGAGGTGTATAAATAGACGAGATTTTCAGTTATTTTGCATCTTTCAAAACCCCAAAAATATAAGAGGAGATTTTTCAAACAACCTTTCTTCTCCAAATCAATTGTACATACTAACTCAAAAACATCATATGGACCTACTCGTGTAATCAAATCATCAAAATAACATCAAATTAAGTCTTGAGATCAATGAAATTTTCTCCAAAACTTCTTTAAACATATTTTTTTTTGCAATTTAAGCCCGGATCACGTCATCTGACATCCGTTTTTCACCAAATTCCACAGAAATGTCTTAAATCATATATAAGACCTATATCAGGCGCCGGAACCAAAATACGGCCAGATACCATCATGTTTTAATCAAATTTCATTTCAAATTTCTTTAAACAATTTCAGAAAATAATTTCCTTTAAAAATTTATTTCTCGGGCTTGGGACCTCGGAATTCAATTCCGTGCATACGCCCAAGTCCCATATTTTCCTACGGACCCTTCGGGACCATCAAATCACGGGTCCGGATCCGTTTATCCAAAACGTTGACCGAAGTCAAATTAGTTCATTTTATAATCAATACTTATCGCTTTTCACAGATTATCATATTTAAGCTTTCCAGCTACGCGCCCGGACTGCGCACCCAAATCGAGGTGACTCTAAATGAGGCTTCAAGACCTCAGAACACAGAATTCCATTTTAAAACAAGTGATGACTTGTAATTATCTTTTCTCATGGATGAACATGAAATTCCATAATGTTCAGTTGGGATACAATTTAAAACTCGGTGGATAAGGGATTAGTCCGTCTGCATTTTTCTACTTAAAATGAGACCTTTGTTTGCACTTTGTAGTAATGTTTGAATTCGTGATGTTGTTAGTACCAAAACTGAGTCGTAGAAAATAGTCGCAAATCTCTAAAGAACCAAATGAATAGAGAATTGCAGAAGAAAACTGAAGAGAAGAAGAATAGAGAAGGATCGAGATGATATTATTTCCAGTAATTCCTAACGATACAAGATTCCCCTACTTTATACGCAGCAATTGAATAAGTTGAAATGCCCTAACGCTCCTAACTGAAAGTGTAACAGAAACTGGTAATCTCGTAGCCCTTAACCCCTTTTCAACTAATTATATTTCATAGTAAATGATAAATATACCCTTGTACTAACAAACTAACTTCCTGACTCTATTAACTCTTTGAATTGGCATATAACAACTACTCCTCCCTTGAAAGAATCCTTGTCCTCAAGGATTAAAGCGAGGAAATTGTCTTTGCAGCTCTTGCAAATCCATCCAAGTGTTTTTAGCTTCTGAACAGTTAAATCATTTGACAAGGATTTCTATTACAACTCTACGATATTTCTGGACAATCCTCTTATCCTTGATAGCTTCTGGCTCCAACAGTATATGACCATTAGAGAATAAGGAAACTGGAAGATAAGGATGCACTGGTCTATTCTCCACCTTTTTCTTCAACCGAGACACATGAAATGTGTTATGAATCTTAGCATTAGGTGGTAACTCCAACTGATATGCAACTTGACCAATCTTCTTTATTACACGAAATGGTCCAAAATACCTAGGACTAAGCTTTAGTAGTCACTCTCTCTTACTGAAAGTTGTCTGTAAGGTTGCAGCTTAATATACACCCAATTATCAACCATAAAAGACCTCTCTGAACTCTTCTTATCTGCTTGCATCTTCATTATGTGTTGAGCCAAATATAAATGGTGTTTCAACAACCAAATAGTAGATTCCCTTGCCCGCAAACTCCGGTCCACAACTTCTATCATTGAACATTAAGGAAAATAGGGAAGATGAAGTGGTGGAGTCTGTCCATATAGCACCTTATATGGAGTAGTCCTAGTAGAGTTGTAAAAATTAGTGTTATACCACCATTTGGCAAGTGGTAACCAAGTAGTCCAATGCTTTGGCCTATCACCACACATACATCTCAAGTAGCCCTCTAAACACTTATTGACTACTTCAGTTTGCCTATCACTTTGAGGATGATAGGATGTTGAATGATGCAAACCTACTCCTTGAAGATTAAAGAGCTCTTGCTAGAATTTGCTGAGAAAAATAGTATCTCTATCAGTTACTATACTCTATGGTAGTCCATGAAGTTTGTAAACATGCTCTATAAAAGTCTGAGCTACCATTTCAGCAGTAAAAGGATGTCACAATGTCATGAAGTGAGCATACTTACTCAACCTGTCCACCACCACTAAAACAATGGTCTTTCCAAAAGAATTTGGAAATACCTCCACAAAATCCATACCGATGTCTTGCCATACTCTTTCGGGAATAGGGAGTGGTTGTAAAAGACCAGGTGCAACCACAGTTTCACCTTT